AAAGCTCTCAGATTCGAAATCAAAGATATAAAAAAAAATAAGGCCATTAAATCAAATAAACAAACTTGGAGAATGGGAAGTAGTTTGTAAGCAACCAACTTCAAACAAATATACAAACTGTTCCTATGGAACAATTTTCCCAGTAGAAACCGACCTCAACATGGAAAATATCAAAGAAAAGATAAGAACCTTAGGATATGAGTCTAATGAAATTACTGAAATAATAAGATTAAAAAAACAAAATAATGACAAAAAAAGTGAAGAAAAATGGGTTCCCACCAAATCCTTAAGAATAACTTTTAAAGGAGCATTACCCAAAAGAGTAGCAATTGGCCATACAAGCTACCAAGTGAGGCAGTACACTTTCCCAATATTAAAATGTTACAATTGTTTAAGGTATGGACATGGGACAGTAACTTGCAAAAATAAAAAAAGATGCAATAACTGTAGCCAATATGGACATAATTATAAAGATTGCCCTAATAATTCTCATTGTTTTTACTGTGATGATAATCATGCACCAAACACAAATGAATGCACAGTCCATAAGTTAGCTCAAGAAATAAACAAAGAAAATATAACACCAAATAACTTAGAGATAAAAAAACAGTTGCAACAACTAAAACCAATAACAAAAAACATAAGTAGTGAAACACAACAACCAAATATGTTTACACAAACAAATAACACACAAGAAGTTCAAGTAACCACAACACCTCAACCTACAGAAGAAAACAGAACACAAACATATGCACAGAAATTAACAGAACCACAAAGCCTCACTTTAGGTCAAAGAACCCCAAACAGAACAAATAACCTAACTCCAAACAGAAAGAAGATAAGAACTCCAAACACCACACAACAAACTACATGTTTTGATGAAAACGAACAAACACAATATGAAAAAGAAAAATCCAAAACAAACAACAAACAAAAAGACACACTAAATTCACCAGTTACTTGGTCACTACCAACCCCACTAACCCACAAAGATACCACCAATGATGATAACAATGAAAAAAATGAAGAGGATTTCTCTTGGATAAAATTAGCCTCAAATATATTTAAAATAATAACAAAAATAATAAACAATTTAAACTCGGATAAACCAATAATACAAAACATAATGGATGTGATAAACGAGATTAGCAACATGCTAAAGGCAATATGAAAAACTTAATATTGTGGAATGCAAGATCTGTGTTAAACAAGAAAACTAACCTAAATTATTTAATTTTTAAAGAAAACCCAAATATAATAGCCATAACAGAAACATGGTTAAAAGAAAAAGATAAATTTACTCTAAATAATTACACAATAATCAGGAAAGACCGAGTAAACCAAGTAGGAGGAGGCTTAGCCATATGCATCAAAAACGATGTACAGTTTAAAGAAATAAATCTAAGAGATATACATAGGGAAAAATTAGAAACCTTAGGAATAAAAATAAACTATAAAAGAAAATGGCTTAATATATTAATAATATACAACCCATGTAATGATATAAAAACGGAAGAACTACAATATTACTCAGAGCAAATTACAGATCCAAAATTAATAATGGGAGACTTTAATGCCCATCATCCTTATTGGAATGAAAACATAAGTAATAGACAAATTAATGCAACAGGCAAAAACATAATAAAATGGATCAGTCAAAACAATCTAATAATGCTAACCCCAAAAAATCAAATAACTAGAATAGACCCTAAAACAGCCAAAGAATCAACCTTAGATCTAATATTTGGTTCTCCAACCCTAAGTCATATCCAACTAAAAACAGCTTTTCATTTAGACAGTGACCACTTACCAATAATAATAAATGATAATTCATACATAGATAATAACCTACTAAAAGAAAAAAAGTGGCAATATACAAAAGAAGGGTGGAGGGACATTCAACAAGATTTAAACAGCATAGAAACAGGAAATCTAACCTCACTCAAAGAAATTTCAGAGATTATAAAAAACACGGCCTTAAAATATTTTAAATTAGAAACACGGAAATACAAAGATAAACCAAATAAACCATGGTGGAATAAAGAATGCAATGATATTATAAAAGAAAAAAACAAAGCCTATAACAAATGGAGAAAAAAGCCAACATTAATAAACCAAAAAGAATATAAGAAACTATTAGCAAAAGCTAGACTTAAAATAACACAAACAAAAAGGGAATCATGGGAAAAGTTTTGTGCAACATTAGATTTTAAAACCTCGCCTAAAATGATTTGGAATTTCCTAAAGAAACTAACAGGAAAAATAACAACAATGGAATATCCATTAATTGAAAATGATCTGCCATTAACAGAAATTGCACAAAAATTAGACAAATTCAAAAAAGAATATATGGAAACAGTAAGCAAAAATCCCAAAAAACTTATGTCAGAATTAGAAAAAGAAAGATTATTCAACTTAAAGAACACTAATGAAATAAATAAAGAAATAACCCTCATAGAATTAAAAGCAGCAATTAATAGTGCCAAAAACAATAAAGCAT